AACACTGACATCTCCTAAGCTCCGCTGAAGATGTTAACTAGTCTGGTAACGGGACGTTAAGAAACTGACCCACAAGCTCAGAGAATGAATCTTCACTCTCCTCCTACACAGGGGTGGGATTCAAATTATTTAACAACCAGTTCTGTGGGCGTGGCTTAGTTGGCAGGCGTGGCTTGGTGGTCATGTTATTGGCTGGGTGTGGCCAACTCAACATCACTCACATCGAGGCACCATCTCCTCGCCTGGCCTCTCATGACTGTGGGGATGCTGCAACAGTTGTAAGTGTGAAAAATGGTCATAAGTCACTTTTTTCAGTGCCATTGTAACTTTGAATGGTCACTCCACACAAGCAAAGTACCAGCAAAGGAGGGGAAAAAAAAACTCCAGAGAAGTTCCAGAGACAGAAAGTCTAGTCCTGCCAAGAATGTAATAAGGGTTAACAGAGAGGCAGTTTCTGTAAGCAACACCAGAATGTTTCCTTCCTGCCTTCCTTACAGGATTAGGCCAGTAATTTCTTCTAACAACCGGTTCTCCGAACTGCTTAGAATGTTAACAACCGGTTCTAGCAAATAGGTGCAAACTGGTAGAATCCCACCCCTGATCCTACACCCGAGCTACAGGTATTTGCCATTATTACAAATGAGGTAAAGGTTCTCCTCACACATACATGCTCGTTGTTTCCGGCTCTAGGGGTGGTGCTCATTTCCATTACAAAGCTGAAGACCCAGCGCTGCCCGAAGACGTCTCCGTGGTCATGTGGCCGGCATGACTAAACACCGAAAGAGCAGTGAAAGCTGTTACCTTCCCACCAAAGGGGTCCCTATTTTGTTTCTTGCATTTTTTAATATGCTTTCGAACTGCTAGGTTGGCAGAAGCTGGGACAAGTAATGGGAGCTCATTTCATTACGCGGCGCTAAGGATTCGAACTGCCAAGCTTTCTTAACCGCCAAGCTCAGCATCTTAGCCACTGAGCCACCACACCCCTTTTGATGAGGGAATCAAATGAGGTATCATTCCTCAAACGGAACTGCAACCCACCGAGGTCTTCTGGAAATGCAAATGTTTTCCTCACTGCATTTATGAATTATATCCCATATTGTTTTTATTTTTAACGCGAGTTTCACCTTGACTTTCATCATGCTAACCCTGGCATGAGACAGGCCATTCTAGTGGATAAAATCATGGATGCAGAAGAAATGTTTTGGCATTTTTATACAAAGAGTGTGTCATATTTTTTTTTTAATCCCTTGGCTGGATATTTGATATTTATCAAATATTTTGCCTTTCTGTGTGAGCACCGTTTCTGCTTTAAAGCTTGTAATATAGAACAAGGTGGTTTTGAAGGACTTCTTATTTATTTTTGTAAAAGGTGATAAACATAGGATTTGTTTATCTACTGGCTATTATGATTTATGTCATAATGAAAATCTTTTCTAGCCTAGTGTTGGAAGGGACCTTGTAGGTCATCTAGTCCAACCCCTGTCCCAAGCAGGAGACCCTACACCATTTCTGACAGATGGCAGCCCCGTCTCTTCTTGAAAACTTCCAGTGATGAAGCTCCCACAATGTTTGAAGGCAACTTCTGTTCCATGGGTTGATTCTTCAGAAAATTTCTTCTTATTTCTAGGTTGAATCTCTCCTTGATTAGTTTCCATCCATTAGCATGAAGCTGATCATCTGGTAGAAGCCACCATGATGTCACGATATGCACTGCATTGTCGCACCGAGGATAGACATGGCATAATGGTGTCATTCAGGGATGGGGTTCTGGTGTTTGTGACTTGTGTATCTTTCCCCAAATGATAGAACATAATTGTGTCATTCCAGGATGTTGTGTGTGGCATTTCTTGCCTCAAGTGATGAGAAAGGATAGAGATAGAAATAGAGATAGAGAAAAATAGAGATAGATAGGTGGGTAAGTAGGTAGATGATAGATAGAAGATAGATAGATAGATAGATAGATAGATAGATAGATAGATAGATAGA